ACATCACTTTACCTGATTAGATGTCACAAAATTGGACTGTTCGTCCCGCGCGCACACCCGCCGATATGACACTTTTTCAAGTTTTTCACACCTATTGCCATGACACTTTTTAAAGTTTTTGAAGATAAAAAGTTTGCACTTCGTAGGCAAGGTACATTTGGTGCTCATGATTTATGAATAATATATTTTTAATACTGTACTGATCATGATGTTGACTCTGTTATAACTTACATTTTTTGTCTTTTAGTTTTATTTGATGAAGGTTGATTGTGCTGATTTCTCAAGGTTTATGTGTATCAAAGTTCCTTGAAATGAAAATATTCCTTCAAACAAAGCACGTATAAAAAAAACCCCCAAAATATTCATGTTTATAATTATCAATTAACTAGAACGAAATATTTCCATAACATATTTATTAATTTAGCGTGTCATGGTGACATTATCTAATTCATTGGAGACCAGAAATAGTAGTAGCTATAGTGAAAATATTGTAAATTTTGTATATATACGAAAGTCAGGTTTAATCTCAAAGAACCATGTCTTTATAGTCATAATTGCTGGAAGAAAAGTCTAACCATGATACTTCAAGGAAGATAGGCATGTAAATACATTTAATGTAATTACTTACACTTTTATCTATCTGAAATGCTCTGTACACCTATCTACTTTCCTCAACTACAAATATAGTTATAATAAGTAAGGACTATTACTTTGCAATACATTCAAAATAAAGAAGTAGGTATAAAGTCCTTTCGATTTGTCTAAATCCTCATATTGATAGGATAGTAATTGCAACATCTTGGGTATTTCAAACGTTTTATTTAGTCAACTTCATCATAGAGCTATTTATCATTTGGCTTGTTGGCGATAAATATATGGTTGTGTGTATTTTGTTATTTTTTTTTTCTTTACCTATTTTGATTTGTTCACATTATTGTCGTCAAATTTGAAATAAGAATTAAAGAAGATATAAAATCGCTTAAAATTAAGAAAAATAGCCCATGGTTCTCTTATTTTAGTAATTTTGCATTCCAAAGTGTAAGAGTATGGGGAAAGTAATATAGCTTAGCGGTTATTTGTGAACATTTTTCAATACGTTTAGCCTTTCAGTACTTTGATTTTACATTGGGCCTGTATTGGTCTGGAGTTGCACCATAGCTGAGAGCTAAACACAGGTAATAGAGAAGTACTTAATCTTAATTGGTTCATTTCATACTAATAATCTGGTATTCAAATTTATAAAAAAGATATTCTTAATTATACTGACACTCCTTCATCACTTGTTATGACCAAGAAAGCCTTGACAATCTTTTTGTTTGCTGCCACTGTTATAACCCTCAATGCAGAATAAAACTCAACAACAAGATTAAAGAATATCCGTGTGTGGTAAAAACAATTAATTTATTGATTTTTTCTTTTGCTATAGCAACTAGGATCCAGTTTCTTAAGTTTTTCATTCTCACTTTTTTTGCCACTGGAGGGATATGTTGATATCACCAGTACAATTTTGTGTAGTTTGTAAACTAAATCAAAGGCTGAGTGATGGGTGATTCACAAGTAGGTCCTAATGATAAAACACTCCCACACAATTAATTAACATCAGGACTTGTGATTGGCTACAACGATGTTGGGGAATCCCCATCTGCAGACACTTCCTGGTCTGGATACAGATACATGTGTTAGTCTTGTGGGTTGAAATAAAAAGTGGTGGTTTCCTGTCTGCATCAGCCACTGGTCACTGCTGGAATGTTGTGATAAGAGTTGATAGCTAGGAAAGGGAGAAGAAGGGTTGGGGTAGAAAGGGAGTGGGGATATGTTCCTTACTTTATAAAATGTCTAAGTTATATATCAACTATGAATTTCAAAAGTGAGAAATAAGACTTTTCCTCTTAAGACAAGAATCCTAGAATGTAAAAGTAAAGTAATAACAAAAAAACTATGATGGATAGATATATCAGCTCACCCATATATACACTAGTGTTGTTGAGTATATTTACCAGCCAAGTCCCCTCCCCTGCCTTCCATCCCCCCCCCTCCATCAACCCTCTCCCCTCAATAACACCAACTTCTGTATGAAAAAAGCTTGGGCCTCATCCCCAAACAACAACAACTTGAGTATAAGAAGTTTTGTGTTGTCCTCCTAGGCTTAGTCCAGTGTAGATACAGTAAATTGTTTTGGTTATACATACTTGGATCAACAACCAGCAGAGCCGAGATTGGCTATAAGATATGTTTTTACTGCAACAATCAATACACATATATTGAAACTTCACATTTAATTATGGCAGAGAATTAGTAAGGCTTTCAACTTTCATAAAGCTTATATGAAATGGAAATTCATGTAGTTGGAACAATTCATCAGTATAAAGGAATGTCTGCTTTGAATAGCCTAGTTTATATCACTTCATCTCTGTATTCAGATATATGGGTAAAAATGTTTGTAATTAAATTAATCTAAACTGCAATTCTGACAATGAAATTTGAAATATCTTGTCTACAAAAACTTATTTCCTTTATGAGGCATATCCAGAGTCAATATCTTTGATCTATGGAAGATGAAAATTACTTTAAGAGTGAACTTTTTAACAGTCAATGTACTGACATGTATTGCTGTAATCATATTATAATCAACACTATGAATTTTTTTTCAGAAATCATTGGACTTAATCTGTTGTAACATAATCACATAAAAAATTTAACTTTTGGCCTGTAGAATTGTCAGTTGCTTAGTTTTAACAATATTTTTTATTCAATATTCCAGTTGTTTGTCCTTGTATAGAGTATATATGTACAATGTACTCCGAAAACGAAGACATGAATTTAAATAAGCTAACACTCAAACACTTGTTATAAGTCAAGGCTGAATGTCATTAAAAAATACCCCAATTTTTAAAATTTATTTCTTTCAAACACAATTCTGATCATTCAAATATTATACTTCAAAAATCAAATATGATTAATCAAACAGCATCAAATTTGTCCAGTGATCAGAAGTATTCAGTTCCCTTTAAATGGTAATTTTAGCCAATGGCGTTACAGGAAAATTCTATATTAAGGAAAGACAATGAATTTGCAGTATAGATTTCTGACACAGCTGTCATTCACTCTCAATACACAGTTTGTTTAGGATTATTCAAGTTGATTATATCACAATGTGTTATACTGAAATATGCATACTGTTATCTTAATGTTAACAGATATCTTCCATTTTCTGTCAGAATAGATTTTACTTACCACTGTTAATCCAGAGACAGAATGTTTACCCCCTCTATTCTCCACAATATACTAAACACATCCAAAGAACTACGTGTCACAACAACAACCTTCCATATAATAATCCATTAAATCTGACATTAAGTCTTAGATATGATATAGAGAAAATTAACCTCGGGCTGTCCTTTTTTTTATCTGATTTAAATATTTACCTGTTGATTGCCTGAAACAGTTTCCACTGAACATGTCCAGGTAATGTACCTTAGCCTGAGGCAATACCATACAGGCATCAAAGGACTTATTTCTGAAGATCCCACTGAATTATTACTTCAGGCAACTTTACAATAGATACAATGATAAAATGTGTGACACTTATTAATCTAATGTGTTTTTTACTACAATTTTCAAATGACAAGTGCCTTTATATATTGGTGTTTCTTGATTTTTGTTTCTTCATTTCGAAAAATAATGCACATATTAGCCTGGACAAACTGGGCAAGCAAGAGGCCCAATGGGCATGTGTTTCTCATCTGTTCAGCAAAAGGAGGGAATCAAAGATTTTGTGGGTTAAGTAAGCTAATTTCCCAAATATCTGACTCCTGTGACCTTTAAAGTATGCAACTTTCCCAATGTCATGAACCTTGACCTTCTTTAACTTGTAATTGTGAAAAATTTTTCAAAATCTTTGAACTAATTTGATCCCTATGAACTTGAAATTGGGTCAAGATCATTCTTATGAACATACAACAAATATTTTTCTCATTATCCCAACATCCTGACCCTAGGTTATTGAGAAGTTGTTTGAAGGGAAATGATGACTGGTGCTGCGCTACATTATAAGCTTGCTTGCTCTTCAGCTAAAAGGCACTCAAATGTTCTGATTAAACAGGAAAGAACTGCTTTAAATAATTCTGTTAAATTGTCAATCATTTTCAATTAAGTTTGGGTATTATCTTGATTATAAAATGAGAAAAACCAGACAATAAGATTCATCCTATACTGAATCGTAGGTTAAATATCATATTAATTATCAAAATAAGTGTAATATATATTTAAAACACATCAAAGTGGTTTTTATTTATAAAAATTCTGATCTTAATACAATATCCTGTTCGTGAGAAGAGTATGAGGTTGAAGATTTTCATGATGATGTTACTATGACAACTATTTTGAAAGTGACAGCATTTGGAATTTACTTTACGACCAATTATGGACTGTGTCTTATTTATCATAAGTGATAGTGTCGCCATATCTGTAACAACAAGCATACAGAGCAACAGTAAAAACCAGGTTTTGCATGGGTCTAAATGCAGTAGTTTTATAGAAACAATGACCTTGACCTCCAAACCTGAAAATCTAATCTGAGCAAGCACTTTTGGTAAGGAAGCATTGTAAAAAGTTTGGTGTTGATCGGCCAAAGGGAACTTAAGTTATCACAAAACAACGTTTGTGCAGATGACAGCATCGCTGCTGACATAGTAATACCTATATGTCGCCTTTAGCAGGCGGGTAAAACAAAAATCATATTGAAATTGCTTTTTGTCTGTGCTAATCCAAAATCACTTTTAATGATGTACTATCCATAATAATAAGATCAATCAGTTAATGTCATATTTACATACCATATCTATTTCATACACTGTATACATTGTACACTAAACTTTAATAATTTGTTAAAGGGGCTGGGACAACTCATAAAAGACACATTTTGAAATTAGGTTTCTCATAACATCATGTGTATAATGTTTCTTTATCAGTATCAAACAAGTAACTAAATGCAAATTTACCAAGATGTCTTCCACTTCATATCCCAGTTTCTCTGCCAGCATCTTCCAGTTGTTGCCCATCATTGTATCAAAGTCAAGTTTGTTAGCCAGCTGTATCCAGGTGTCCTGGCTGACATACTTGAAGGGGATTCCTTCCATCATGGTGATAAAATTTGGTCTAATACAAAATGGTCAACTACTTTTGTAAACTAGCCTTGATGGCTCCAAACTTCTGATCAGTTGACCCTCTAATCACCAAACCTCTGGTACTCAATTCTACCGAATTTAAAGCAGAATCCCTGACAATTTCAATCTTCTAAAAGTCTAGATCAGTATCTAATTTGACCAAGGTTGCTCTTATGCCCACTGATGATGGTGGCAAAACAGCACAATTATTTCTCTCATCTCCATTTTCTGAAAAAAAAGAAGAAATTTGATAAATGATGGGCAGTATTTGAACCAACTGAAGATTACAGTGAATTCTTTCAACAGAGTCTAGTCTAACATATACAGCTGTTGACTCACCTTTGTTATTTAATATTTCAAAAACTAGATTATTTTTTCATTGAAATATGAAACAACATATTACATTGTCTAAGCTTATTATAGTAAACATCATTTAAATGTCTACTAAATTGTCTACTTCAAAAACAAGATGGTTGGAGGAAAAGATAGATAAATCAATAGATAGGAAGGTCAGATGTACATAAAATAATAGATAGGAAGGTCAGATGTACAGAAAATAATAGATAGGAAGGTCAGATGTACAGAAAATAATAGATAGGAAGGTCAAATGTACAGAAAATAATAGATAGGAAGGTCAGATGTACAGAAATGGAAGGACATGAAGGTCAGATGTACAGAAATGGAAGGACATGAAGGTCAGATGTACAGTAATGGAAGGACATGAAGGTCAGATGTACAGAAATGGATAGACCTACCCTCGTTTTGGGGAACACTGTATGGCCATTTTTAGGGCAGGTCTCCTTGAAGTAGATGGTGGCTACCTTAATGAAGAGTATACAGGAGGCCAATTGCACGCCATTATGAGTAATTGGGGGTAAAATGTTTTGCCCAAGGATACAACAACACAGACCGGTCCATTTCTGAGTTTCCAGAGGAACACAAATCACCATCAAAGCACATACCTGATATCTTTTTCTGAGGCGAAAATGCAAATCAATATAACAACTATGTTTCAGAAATAGATTTATTTTTCTTTGATTACTGGACTTCTTCCAAGGAAATCTGTCACTATATTGTTAAGTCTGTTCTGATATGTAGAAAATGTTTAGTAATCAATGTCTGTGACATTAACATAGGTCAAGGTCATTCTTGGTCAAAATTGGTAGGCCTTCATGCAGACCTAAGTGAGCCGATTAGTGACTGAGAAGAGGATGTTGAAGAATTTGATCTCATTGATCCCTGTGATCTTCAAGTGGGTCAAGGTCATTCATTTGAGTATACTTAACTGCTCTTTATCTAAACATACTATAGACTCAATATCAATATGTATAGCCTCAGACTCTTTAATACTAAGCAGTTGTTTTCTTAACACATCTGAATGGGTCAAAGTCTTTCATATGAACAAACTTGGAAACACTTCACTACAGCATGATATAGGTAAAGTATGAATACTCTCAGCCTCTTGGTTTTAGAGAAGAAGTTGTTTATGGAAACAGTTGATGCTAGATGGATGATAGATAAAGTACTATAGCACATAGCATAAACTCACTTGCCTTTTGAACAAAAACCTGAACACAAATCAGGTCTTTAATACACAATGTACACCTCTCTTTCATACATAATTATATCAAAAAGAAAACATTTCAACAAAATGCATGTTAGAACATTAGCTTTTTTCATTCCTAAGAATTTGTAGATCTGTTGCTATTGTTCTATGTTAAAATAAAAATGAAATGGATCAAGCATGATAAAACTTTCCCATCCTTCCAAAGGTTTATCATGACTCTTTTGTAAGTCACACTGATAGTATTAATACATGATAGGTGATAAATTCATTGTATGTCACGAATATCAAGTCACTGTTCCACGATCCTGTCAGGTGTACATCATTATTTTATCACCTGAGGTCACAATGGGAAAAAGAGTAAATAAGTATATTAGGATTATTAATGAAGTCTATATATAGAAACTGCCTCTAGCCTGTACACCTTCAGTTATACAGTAAAGGCATAACACTTATCAGTTTTATCTAATTCTTATAAGACATTAGGTCATCTTACGATATCACTTATTTTATTATCACTCTAAGTTTGATACTGACAAAGCAGTTGTGCTTAACAAATCTGGAAATCAACAAGAATATTCTCAACATTTTTGTTAAATTTTTGCTAAAGATTATTGAAATTAGGAATCAATCATCTTGTAAATGTTATGCATTTTAAGAAGCTGTTTTTGTTTGTTAATCTTTTATTTTTTTTGGGGGGGTGGGGGTTGATGGCTCATATTCAGTTCTCAGAAAATGGGGCTTATATTCGGTTCACAGCGCTCTCAGGAAATAGGGCTTGTATTCGGTTCACAGAGCTCTCAGAAAATGGGGCTTATATTCAGTTCACAGAGCTCTCAGGAAATGGGGCTCATATTCAGTGCTACAGAAACTCTCAGAAAAAGCCCTGAGAAGACAGTGTAAGGTACTGGTAGGTAATCAGAAATATGATCTTTCTTCAATCAGTCATTTTATCTTCTACACTTATACAAAAGCAAGGAAAGCAGATCATCATAACCTGAAAATGATAAAGAAAACCATAGTCTGTTTCATTATTTATGCTAAAAGTTAATAGAGAGAACCATAGTCTGTTTCATGATTTATGCTAAAAGTTAATAGAGAGAACCATATCATTATTTATGCTAAAAGTTAATAGAGAGAACAGTCTGTTTCATGATTTATGCAAAAGTTTCAATGCTAAAAGTTAATAGAGAGAACCATAGTCTGTTTCATTATTTATGCTAAAAGTTAATAGAGAGAACCATGGTCTGTTTCATTATTTATGCTAAAAGTTAATAGAGAGAACCATGGTCTGTTTCATTATTTATGCTAAAAGTTAATAGAGAGAACCATAGTCTGTTTCATTATTTATGCTAAAAGTTAATAGAGAGAACCATAGTCTGTTTCATGATTTATGCTAAAAGTTAATAGAGAGAACCATAGTCTGTTTCATGATTTATGCTAAAAGTTAATAGAGAGAACCATGGTCTGTTTCATGATTTATGCTAAAAGTTAATAGAGAGAACCATAGTCTGTTTCATGATTTATGCTAAAAGTTAATAGAGAGAACCATAGTCTGTTTCATGATTTATGCTAAAATTTATGCTAAAAGTTAATAGAGAGAACCATAGTCTGTTTCATGATTTATGCTAAAAGTTAATAGAGAGAACCATGGTCTGTTTCATGATTTATGCTAAAAGTTAATAGAGAGAACCAGTCTGTTTCATGATTTATGCTAAAAAATAGAGAGAACCATCCTGTTTATGATTTATGCTAAAAGTTAATAGAGAGAACCATAGTCTGTTTGATGATTTATGCTAAAAGTTAATAGAGAGTAGAGAGAACCATGGTCTGTTTGATGATTTATGCTAAAAGTTAATAGAGAGAACCATAGTCTGTTTCATGATTTACAAAAGATAGAGAGAACCATGGTCTGTTTCATGATTTATGCTAAAAGTTAATAGAGAGAACCATAGTCTGTTTCATGATTTATGCTAAAAATACATCCTGTTTATGGGCTTTAAACATTCAACATAACTATGAAAATATGAACATTGAAAAAAATTACATTTACAAATGATTTCGAAGTGAGAAAAAATTTGAAGCTGGTAACAACTTTTAACTACATTGACTTGTTTATTCTTTATTTTACATTTGTATTAAATACTACATGCATTCATATGTCACATCTAACAGTCTAATATTGATATTTGTTTTGCAGCACCATAATTTTATTGTGAGAAAATAATCATTTATCAAAAAGTAAATTTTTGACACTCAAGGGAGATAACTGTGGAGTACACAGATGGATCATCTCATTTGCTCCTCAAGACAACTACATTTTGCTGACAGACAAGGAAATTTTACATTTGAATATTTGTACTCATGTCAATTTCATTTGGTATGCAACAATCCCTTTCAAAGGACAGTCATTAGGTTACACTTGTTCTACCAATACAGAACATTTTTTTTTCAATTTGATGCATGCAGCTCCTAATTAGTTCAACTGCAAAAGATATGTAATTGATAAGATCAATTTCTAAGCCTAATTGTCTGAAGTTATGAACTTGCTTTTAAAAATATCAAGAAAATATGTCACTGGAAATTGTATAAGATGTGAGGATTTCAAAACTTGGAAAAACAGAAATGGTATTGAAATGTATAGATACTTTTTTAATAAAATAATAAATTGCTTCAATATTGTTGTATATTTATATCACTAAATGCTAAATCCACATCTGATACAATGATAGACTGTGCTACATGAATAAGGCCCAGAAAAATGTGAAATAAAACTGATTTAAAAGGTCTGCAGGTAGATACCTTCAGATATTTATATCGCCTGTACTTTATAATTACTGTCCATAAACATTCCACAAAAACAACCTCATCAAACGTTGATTAAAGTTCAGGACAATGACAATGCTGTAACTATAGAAGACCAAAGTTCAGATAATGTTACCAGTTCAGCTTTGATTTTTGTTATTTCACATAAATGAGGCATGAAACCGACATGGATAAAGGTGACTGCAGGCCTTGTGGTGGTAGACTAATTTGTGTCATGATGTGTAGGCAAAAAACATTTCAACACATCTTGATGCTTCAGTTGAAAAAATACTAATCTGAACAAAATTAAGACTATCTGTCCAGCCAGAACAAATGAATTTCATGATCTTCCACAGGTTAATATCTAACATGAATATTGAGGTATCATTTTTCTTATACCAACCAACCAAACAAATATCCAAAATTCTTTGATATCCCTCAATTAAATTGTTACTAATGGATGCAAATGGCATTAACAATGTGTGTACATATTGTTTCTACCTATCAAAATGTGCTAATTGTCAGAAGTCAGATTTCACACAAAGGTGTATCTCACTCATCCTGTTTTCACAGTTTGGTGTTTGGTAAATATTAAGCAAATTGTAAAATTGGAATTCCAAATATAACCTAAGGATTGGTGCTAAGATAATTATTTTCTTACATAGAATGATAACTTGAATAATAGTCAACACTGTGGGTGTAAGCCTTCAGAGGTTTGTGGAAGTTGGTACTGATAATAGTCAACACTGTGGGTGTTAGCCTTCAGAGTTTTGTGGAAGTTGGTAATGATAATAGTCAACACTGTGGGTGTAAGCCTTCAGAGTTTTGTAGAAGTTGGTACTGATAACAGTCAACACTG